CAAAACTTGTTGAAATGGTTACTAATTTTAACGAAGAAATAACAAACAAATATTCCCACCGCATTGGAAAGTATCCTGATGAAGGTTAATAATTACATCACGCTTCAACGAATACAATATTTGCTTTGCTCACTTGACGTTTGATACGATGAAAAACCAATATTTGTCAGCCGATCCCGTACAAATGTGCTACATTCGTTATTTCATCGACAGAAACGCATGCTCTCTTCTGCCGAAAAAAAAGCGCAGTACAAACATTTATGAAACCAACCACCAGTATAATCTGATAATAAAAATTGAGGAAAAATCAATATAAAAGAAGAAAAAAAAAAAAAAAAAAAATGATAACAGAACCTAGTGTGCATAAAAATCAGTAGAGCCAACAAAAATGTCGGTACTCAGGACGGTACAGCTGCAGATTTGTAATTAAATAGAAAAAAAAAAAACGCGATATTCGAAGAAGTGTACCTTCGAAGACGCTGATACAAGGTACACTCCCGTGGCCCCGTAATTTTACGAGATGTTGCAGTCCTCCGCGTGGGCGTCGCGTATCTGCTGCTTGGTCTTGCGGCTGTGGCGCCTTATCAGACTACGGCTGCGAGGTTTGCTCTTGACCTCCTCGGCCACCGCGACCACGCTCGAGCCTTGTGCTGCCAGCACCTGTTTTGGACTCCCTGGTGCCCCTGCGCTGCTCGGACTGCCCGATCGTGTGCTGAAAACCGTTCAATAGGAGAGTACAGGTTTATTACTATTATTGTACTTTTTCTCAGTATATTATACGAGAGGCACAGTTTTTTATTTGCATTTTGCAGGGCTCTCCAGAGTTTTTCTTTTCCTCAATACGATAAGAAATGCCGAGCTGTTGATTAAAAAATTTCACTGAAAAATTAAAAATTTGATTTAATTTTTTTTGTTTGTTTTTTTTTTTTTCATGCTAATTTTTGTATGTTTTGCATGAGTAAACGAGTAGCCAGGCATATGGATTTTTTATTCATAAGGAAACTTTGAACACTCGGCACTTTTTTATTCAAATGAGATGGTTTTTTATTATTAAATCGATGCTCCAAAATGTTGGAAAAAAAAAGAGAAAGATAATTTTAATTTTACTTTGGCTACTCGCGACTGCGTCGAGCTGGTAATGATGATACATGCGCCTTTTGGAGCTTATTCACAGAGAGTACGGAAAAAATTCCGGATGGGCCAAGAATCACGTCCCCCTGGCCAAATTGTCCGGAGCACCGAATCATTTAACAAGAGGCAGCTTCCCCCGAACGAGGGAGCACACACAGCTCCCGACCGACCGTCAGAGTCGCGGATTTTTTCCTTTTTCTGCCGGACCGGGCGTGACGAAGCCCGTCGTCACGCAGGTGATGCCTCCGCCGCTGACACGATAAGTGTACCACGGTGATGCTCGACCAGAGCAAAAACAAATAATACAACTCGGCGAGGCCTTGCCGCTCCCACCGTCCCCGCCACTGCGGCTACCTGCGGTGCAATCTGCACTCGCGACGCGCGAGACCGGCCATCGCAATTTTCGAAAATACCACCACCTCATCACCGATTCCCCTTTCCTCCTAATCCCGGGTCCTTCGCCGGCGGCGAGGGGGCCGCTGCAGCGTGGATTACAGGGCGCGCGGCTGCCGTCGTATTGCGGTGTTGGTTTTCGAGCCTTTTGTGTTAAAAAGACACGTGTAATCATCTGCCGGGCAAAACTGGTCGGCCTCACTCTCTCTCTCTCCTCCGGCTATAACAACGCATAAAAAGTGCTTGGTGTAATATAACGGGTGAAAAAAAAAAGAAAAAAAAAGATGCGTATGTGGCTGCTGTCTGGGCGCGGAGGATCCTCCGTTTCGAGGGGTAATTTTATGCGGCGCGCGCTTCATATTTGCACGAGTTGTACCTACACGCTGACGCCAAGGCAAACAGCCGATTTTCGGCTGCATCTTCCTTCCGGGGAGCCCTTCGGCCTCGAAAGAAAAGCAGGCGAGTATACCTATGCGTCGTAGAAATAATGGCCCCTTGTGTGAACGGACACTGGCAATCATTAATATCTATTGCACATTTCATGTGAACGGCTTTGAGCGACGAAAATCGGTAATTCTTTGACAATGTCGAACTTTTTATTCGACATTTCATTTATTCCTCACANGAGGTCACACAACTCGTTGAATGTTACAGTATAATACATTCACAATAAATTGAGGTGGCTTTGGAATTTTCTAAAAATCCTATAGGTTTCTTGTGAAAAAAATCAATTTTATTGTTCGAGGTATGTCGAGTAATTGCGGAGTCATATTCGATTTCTTGACGATTAATCGGTGATTTTTCGAAAGTTGTATATCGATGACCTCAGTAACTTTCCTGATTGGAAATTAATGTGCAACAGGATATAAGTTTCGTGGACTTTTGTCGAGCAGTTGAGTGCCCAAGTCACCTCAAGTTGTTTAATGAAACACCACACACTCAAAAGTTTCGATTAAGAATAGGTATACGTGTGTTGACAGCACACGTTTGCTGACCCCCCACTAAAACACCCCCCTCATCATTTTTTTTTTTTTTTTTTTTTTTTTTTTTCCTCCAACAGAGGGGCTTGGAGACACACGTGTGCGTGTACTTGTTGTTGGAGTTGTTCACCAGTGGTCGAGGCTGGCGATGCGTGAGGTAACTTTTTACACTGGCTCTTACAAATTGTTGACTAGCGAGTCGGCGGTGTGGCGAAAGTTTCACGTCATTGATATATCTGAAACAGAAAAATTTCAGGGAATAATACTAATGTGTAATGATTTGATACATTCATTCAATTCCACACGAATAGTGTAAATGTCATCAATTTTAATTTATTTCATTCAATTGTGGGATTATTTACAACGTGTATAAACGTTGACTTTTTTTGTAGTAAATGTGTGATTTTTCTAATAGTTGAGAGGATTTTTCGTTAACAAAGTGTATTTAAGTTCTGTTCTTTGGATATTTTTCAAAAATCATTATTTTCAACTCTATTTTAAGCTTATTTTTGGCGACAGCCTGTAATTTACAATTTTGAAGTAAAATAATGGTAATGTATTTTCAAATTGTATTGTAAAAAAATTCGAGGTTGTATCCATGTCCAAGTTTAATAACGATTTTCTGTGGAATACAGTTTAAAAAAGAAATTGGCAGTGTTTTTTTTTTCTTTTACAGGGAGTACCCTCAGAAAAAAAGATTACCTGGAAATCGGGTCTTTGTTCCCTGACTTCCTCGAAGCAGCGTTTGACGCACTCGAAGCTCGCCAGCGAGCAGGTCGAGTATACCAAGAGAAAAGCGTGGGCTGTGGCTATACTTAGCCGGCGCATTGCCGGGAACTGTTGGTCGCCTGCAAGTGTACTCATTGTTTTTGTTTGTCTTTTTTTTTTTTTAATTTATTTTTTTCATTTTTAATATTCACAGGCTGTTGAAGGTAAAAATGGATATAGTGAATTTGAAAAAAATTACGTAACATATTATACAAGCGAAACGCTATTAAATGATAATTTGAAGCTGTTCACCTTTTTTATGCATTTTCAAACTTATTTGGTTATGTAGTTTTCGAAAAAGTTGCTTCTTATAAATATTATCTATTTGTTATTTTGCTTACCATAGCTTAAAATATCTTTAAAATATTTTGTACACGGCATTTATTTTCAGAAAATTGTGATTAAATATATTTCGTACTCATTTTCCTTCACATACCGAATTATACTCCGAAAAAATGTCTTTAAAATAGTTATTTAATAATTCAGTCTTGTACATATTTAAAAATTTAGTTTTGGACAGTATTTTTCTTCACCAAGGCTTTGATACATTTCTTGGTTTAAGAAAATGACAGCTTGAATAATCAATAAATCCAGTTAACTAATGCCTCTGAGCCAATAAAAAAAAAAAAAAAAAATAAAAAAATACAACCAACATTAGAAAAACTCACCAGCCGTATCGAGCAGGTCAACCTTTAGCGTGAGCGTACCAAGGGTGCACTCACGCGAGTACAGATCCTCGACGGTCGGCCTGTACTTGTCGCTGAATCCCTGACCGAGCAGCCGGCGTATTATCGCACTTTTGCCGACGCTTGCTCCACCGAGCACCACCAGCCTTATCCTCTCGTAATCCGACATCCTTCAACTGTGTACCCTCCGCCCTCTCCTCCTTTTTTTCCCTTATTTTTTTTTTTTTTTTTTTTACGAGTTGTGCAATACCTTCAAACGATGTCCCGCTGTTGGTGGCGAAGATAAGCTCGCTGGCGTTTCTCTGATGATTTATAATGAAAGCCAAATCATGTGCGAGATTTTTAGAGTTAGTACACAGAGAAGAGATAATACGCTGTTTATAAAGTTATTTTTTATTTATTTATTTATTTTTTCCTCAATCGTAGTGGTTGCGAGTAAAGAGTGAACTATTTACTTTTTTATCATCAGTACGTTTTTTCTTTTTTTTTTAATTTACATCATCGCTTTCTCAGTGTCGTAAATATATGGGAGTACTCTCCACTCACTTTTTTTCCGTCGATTGTTTATGAATTGTATGTATTGTATTAAAGAAACTTAAACCGATCGGTGATATTAGATCGAGAATTTGATCAAAAGCCCAAATAATTTAACAAGATTTTTAATTATTTCAACATGACTTCATTGGATAATTGATAAAAAATTATTTATGAAGGGTATTGTTTTATTTAATTAAGATTTAAGCTCATTACAAATGACTTTAATATTAATTTTAAAACTATATTTGAAATGAAAAATCATCAAAAATATTATACTATTTTTCATAAAAAAATACATACACGTGAAAGACGGAAATAATGATTTTGAATATTATTGTTTTTTCATCTCGGTTAACCCAATTTGTATGTATTATTCATTTTAGTACACATTTCGATTTTTCGATTTCGATTTCCTTTCGATGCCTTTCGATTTCCATGATTCTTTATTTTGAATGTTGGGTGGAAAAAAAATTTCGATAAATTTGTTTTAAAGTTACACTAGTACGCTATTATTCTTTGATACATGAAAAACAATTCTTTTTTTTTTTTTTTTTTTTTTTTTTTTGTATTCCAAAAAATCTTTGTCCAGCAAAATTTACCATCGGGTCAACAGCTCGCGCGTTAAGTAATTTGTCTCTCCTCCGTTGATCCACGCGTGNAATTAATTTACAATTCAGTCAATAACTAAATTAAATTGCAATTAAAATACAAAACAATAAGAAGTATGATTTAAGTAATTCTTTCTACATCAATTGAATTCAATTTCAAATTAAAATCCAATGCAATGTAAATTAATTTTAATTTTTAATTGAAAATTGTGTCGTTTACCAATTAAATTCGTTTGTTAATCAAAATGTCAATCAACCGACGTTTATAATTTATTTTTAGTTGAAATATCCATGAATTGTTTCTATCAACAAATCAAATGTATTTGTTAATCTGAACACCATTGAATTCGTTGTTAATTTATGTTAATTTAAAATCAAATAAATTAAAGAAGCAATTATAATTTATAATTGAACTCTAGTTCATTTCGATTTTACTCTAAGTTGCAGGTGTTCCAAAAATGACCATCAGCTTGGACACCTGAGCACTACATCGCATTGTAGCTAATGATCTACAGGCAACATAAAGGCAAAAAAAAAAAAAAAAAAATAACACAGAGAAGCGCTAAAAAAAGTTGTAGCACATACAAACTGCCGAGGTACCTGCGCGGTCCGTAAGCCGAGGAGCGCCTCTTCAAGCCCGACTCGTCAGGCTCGCTCGTTGGATTTTTCGGTACTATCCTGGACAGCGTTACGAAACAGCGAAACAACTCTTTGACGTTCACGTCATCCTTTGCCGAGCACTCGATCACTTTGGCCCTGAGCTTTGGTAGTTCGCAGTACAACCACTCGCTCACGTCCTCAAGCGGCACTTCTCTGTGTGCCAGCGTCAAGTCGAGTTTATTTCCGGCTATGACCATCGGCACTTCCTATTTGTTGAGAATCACAAACGATAACTTTATTTATACATATTTTTTTATTTTTAGTGATTATTATCTATACTGCAACAATAATGAATGAAAGTGCACTTGTAAGGGTGCACGAAAAATAATTTATTACGTGCTTCTAAAATAGATTAAATTTTTTTTTTTTTTTACACCCTTTCCAAATTGATCTTACTTTGTTTGTTATATCATAAGTCCACATTCACAGCAACTCAAGGAAGACTTGGAGTTAGAATTAATCTTTATTCAAGACTTGTAGTATGTACATAATGTATAAATATTTTGTTTAATTGGCGAACGCCTAGTTTATAATACGAACGTATATAATTTGGAATCAAAAAATTTCAGAAAAAATAATTGCATAAATATGTAAATATTTAGAAGAAAATTGCAGCCTTAAGTTTTCAAACATTATCGATGCCCAACTCCGTCGACAACAAACAAACTTGGGCACAATTATTTTGTATATTTTTAAATATTAAA